TATATATATATATCTCCCTCTCTCTCTCTCTATATATATATATCTCTCCCTCTCTCTCTCTTACTCTCTCTCTCTCTATCTCTCTCTCTCTCCCTATCTCTCTCTCTCTCTCTCTCTCTCTATCTCTCTCACTCATTCTCTCTCTCTTTCAGAGTTCATCAATAATTATGCAGCGAGTAATGTGGTCGTGAGTCCGGGCCACGCCCCGCCCGCCTACGAACCACACAAGCAGCGGCCCAACAGCCTAGAGCTGGACAACCACGGTGGACCCTACTCCACCTACCCAGGGTGAGTGTGAGATAAGGAGGAAGGGAAGGAGGGAGGGAGGGGAGGAGGTAGGGAGATAGGGAGGGAGGGCAGGAGCGAGTGGCTCAACAGCCTAGAGCTGGACAACCACGGTGGACCCTACTCCACCTACCCAGGGTGAGTGTGAGGGAACCAGGAAGGGAAGGGAGGAGGGGAGAAGGGAGGGAGGGATGGAGGGAGGGGAGGAGCGAGTAGCCCAACAGCCTAGAGCTAGACAACTACGATGGACCCTACTCCATCTACCCAGGGTGAGTGATGGAGCAAGGGGAGGGAATGGAAGGAGGGAGGGGAAGTAGGGATGAAGGGAGGGGAGGAGGAGAAGAGCGAGTAGCCCAACAGCCTAGAACTAGACCACTACGGTGGACCCTACTCCACCTACCCAGGGTGAGTGTGAGGGAAGGAGGGAGGGAGGGAGGAGGGGAAGAGGGAGGGAGGGATGGAGGGAGGGGAGGAGCGAGTGGCCCAACAGCTTAGAGCTGGACAGCCACGGTGGACCCTACTCCACCTACCCATGCGTGAGTGCGTGCCTGTGTGTGTGTGAGTGCGTGCGTGAGTGCGTGCGTGTTCGACTGAGTGAGTGCCTGTGTGACTGAGTGAGTGCGTGTATGACTGAGTGAGTGTGTGTATGACTGAGTGAGCGAGTGAGCTCTCGTGTCATTGTTGCGCGTGGGTTTCGCGCGTCTATAAGGCCACAATTAAAAAAAATCTTTGTTTGCCCTCACCCGACCCAGGCTGAAAAGTTTGGGTAGGTAGGTCGGTTTTTTTAGGGCGGGGGTCTTTTTTTATAAATTCAGCATGGAGTCTACATGCTCGGGTGTGCTGGTGTGGAGATACCTTTCATATTGAATGTTTGTTTTGCTTGGTACATGTAATGTATTGCCTACAGATTTATATAATGTACAGTGATACAATTTGTTAAAAAAGAAGAAAAAGAGAAATATCAATACCCGCTGCCAAAACGCCGAACCGAGCTGAGGACCCGAAGGCAGGGCATTCGGCCGAGAAGAAGCCGGTGGCGCCACCTGTGTCGGATCCGGGAAGAGACCTGATGCATGCGATCCGATCAGGTGAATGATGGAGAGGGAGGGGGAGGGGAGGGTGGGAGGGAGAGAGGGAGGGGTAAAGTGTGGGAGAGGGAGAGGGAGGGGGAGGAGGAGTGTAGGAGGAAAGGGGGGAGGGAGAGAGGGAGAGGGAAGGGGAAAAGCAGTGGGAGAGGGAGAGGGATGGGTAGAGCGTAGGAGAGCGGAGGAGGGAGAGGGAGAGCGAGATGAGAGAGGGAGAGGGAGAGGGAGAGGGAGAGAGAATGGAGGGGTTAAAGTGTGGGAGAGGGAGAGGGAGGGAGAGGGAGGGAGAGAGGGAGAGGGACGGGGAGAGCGAGGAAGGGGTAAAGCGTGGAGAGCAGAGAGGAAGCAGGGTACGGAGAGCGGCGAGGGAAGGAGAGAAGGAGGGGGTAAAGTGTGGAGAGCGGATGAGCCGTTGGGGAGAGAGCAGGGGCGAGGGGAGGGGGGGCGAGATAGAGAGAAAGGGGGAGAGAGGGGTAAAAGCGTGGAGAGAGAGGCGCAGGGGAGAGGGAAAGGGGCAGAGCGTGCGGAGGGGCAGGGAAAGACAGGGCGTGCGCATGTTGAAATTATAAATACCAAAAAGGAAACATTTCGCATACGATAGCTTTTGCTTATCGAAACCACTAACTTCTTTAAATTTTAATGCCCTCCGGGAAGGAGACCGCAATAATTTTAAGATTTATTTTCAGTTTGTTACAATCGTTGCAATTTGCTATAGTTATATACTCAGCCTTTGGAATGCGCACGTGTACATATTTGCATGTAACTTGTAACTAATATTTTTTTACAAGTTATTAATATTTTTATTTTTAATATTTTATACTTTCGCAGTGTAAATTAATAAATATTATTGTTATTAATTGAATTGTTATTGTTGCAGGCATTCAGCTGAAGAAGACAGAGGATAAGGGAGTGAAGGAGGCTGAGAAGAACCTTGGAGGGTACGCTCCCGCGGTCTCGCCACCAGCGCTCGCCACCGTCCGACCGACCCACGCCGTGCTGCCCACGCGACCCGCCGCCGCGGCGGCCCCCGATCGTCGCCGAAGTGCCCCCGCCCGCCGCGTGCGCCCTCCCGCCCCCTCCCCCGCCCCCAGAGCGAAACCTGCGGGTTCCCCGGGGTTTCCTCCGCCACCGCTGCCTCCCGCTGTCGATACGCCGAAGGAAGCTGAGGCACCGAAGGCGGGGCACTCGGCCAAGAAGAAGCCGGCAGCGCCACCTGTGTCGGATCCGAGAAGTGACCTGGTGCATGCGATCCGATTCGGTGAGTGACGGGGGAGGGAAGGGGAGGGGAGAGTGGAAGGGAAGGGCGGAAGAAGAGAGGGACAGGGCGGGGTAAAGCGTGTGAGAGGGAGAGGGAGGGGAAGAGGGAGAGGGAGGGGGAGAGGAAGAGGGAGAGGGAGGGGGAGAGGAAGAGGGAGAGGGAGGGAGAGAGGGTGAGAAGGAGGGAGGAAAGGGGAGAACGTGGAAGGGAGGGAAGAAGGGCGTGCGCATGTTGGAATTACAAGTACCAAAAAAGCAACAATTTCAGATACGATAGCTTTTGCTTATCGAAACCACACAAAAAAAATCNTTTTTTTAACTTCAATGCCCTCCGGGAAGGAGACCGCAATAATATTAGGGTCTATTTTACAGTGTTGCAATTTGCTATAGTTATATACTCAGCCTTTGGAATGCGCACGTGTACATATTTGCATGTAACTTCAGTATTTTTATGTACTTTAATATTTTTATTTTTAATATTTTATACTTTCGCAGTATAAATTAATAAATATTATTGTTATTAATTGAATTGTTGTTGTTGCAGGTATTCAGCTGAAGAAGACGGGGGATAAGAGAGTGAAGGAGGCTGAGAAGAACCTGGGAGGGTCCGCTCCCGCGGTCTCGCCACCAGCGCTCGCGACCANTAAAGTGTGGGAGAGGGAGAGGGAGGGGGAGAGTGAGGGGAGGGGAGAGGGGAGGTAGAAAGGGAGAGGGAGGGGGAGGGAGGGGTAAAGCGTGGGAGAGGGAGAGGGAGGGGAGAGAGGGAGAGGGAGGGAGAGAGGGAGGGGTAAAGTGTGGGAGAGGGAGAGGGAGAGGGAGGGGGAGAGGGAGAGGAAGGGCGAGGGAGAGAGGGAGAGGGAGGGGTGTGGGAGAGGGAGAGACTTGTAATTTCAACATGCGCACGCCCTTGTTCGCTCCCTCCCACGCTCTCCCCTTTCCTACCTCCTTCCCACTACCAAAAAGGCAACATTTCGCATACGATAGCTTTTGCTTTTCGAAACCCACAAAACAAAAGAACTTCAATGGCCTCCGGGACGGAGACCGCAATAATTTTAGGATGTATTTTACAGTGTTGCAATCTGCTATTGTTATACTCAGCCTTTGGAATGCGCATGTATACATATTTGAAAGTAACTTCAGTATTTTTATGTACTTTTTTATAATTTATTGATATTTTTATTTTTAATATTTTATACTTTCGCAGTATAAATTAATAAATATTATTGTTATTAATTGAATTGTTGTTGTTGCAGGCATTCAGCTGAAGAAGACGGGGTATAAGGGAGCGAAGGAGACTGAGAAGAACCTGGGAGGGCCCGCTTCCGGGGTCTCGCCACCAGCGCTCGCCACCGTCCGACCGACCCACGCTGTGCTGCTCACCCGACCCGCCGCGGCGGCGGCCCAGCAGCGACCCGCCCCCGCGGTCAAACCGCCCGTGCTCGCCACCGGGGGGCGTCGCGAGACGCCGACGCCAGATAGCACGGGTAGCAGCGTGAAGCTGCCGCCGCCGACCCCGCCGCCGGAGAAGCAGGACGCGCCCGAAAACGACAAGATGTCGTCGTACTCGCCGACCCAGCCCCCGATCGTCGCCGACGTGCCCCCGCTCCCCGCGTGCAACCCTCCATCAACGCCCCCGCCCCCGCCCCCGCCCCCGCCGCTCCCCGGTGCAAAACCTGCGGGTTCTTCGGGGCTTCCTCCGCCGCCGCCTCCCGCTGTCGATACGCCGAAGAGAACTGAGGCGCCGAAGGCGCCCGAGAAGAAGCCGGCAGCGCCACCTGTGTCGGCTCCGAGAAGTGACCTACTGCATGCGATTCGATTAGGTGAGTGACGGGCAGGGAGGGGGAGGGAAGGGTGGGAGGGAAGGGGGGAGGGAGAGAGGGAGGGGGAGAGAGTGAGGGGTAAAGCGTGGGAGAGGGAGTGGGAGAGGGAGAGGGAGGGAGAGAGGGTGGGAAGGAGGGAGGAAAGGGGAGAGCGTGGAAGGGATGTAAGAAAGATGTGTGCATGTTGAAATTACAAGTACCNTTTTATATACTTTTATTAATATTTTTATTTTTAATATTTTATACTTTCGCAGTATAAATCAATAAATATTATTGTTAATAATTGAATTGTCATTGTTGCAGGCATTCAGCTGAAGAAGACGGGAGATAAGGGAGTGAAGGAGACTGAGAAGAACCTGGGAGGCTCCATTGACGTCACGTCGATCCTTGCCCGCCGCATCGCAGTCGAGTATTCCGACTCCGACTCCGACTCCGACTCCGACTCCAGCGAGAGCGAGTACGACGACAACGAGTGGGACGACAACGGCGACGACGACAAGTGAACGCCTCGCTCGTCGCATCGCTGTGGAGTATTCCGACTCCGACTCCGACTCCGACTCCGACTCCAGCGAGAGCGAGTACGATGACAGCGAGTGGGACGACGACGGCGACGACGACAAGTGAACGCTTGTGCGAATACGACGATGACGGCGACGACGACAAGTGAACGCTGGAGCGAATACGACGATGAGGGCGACGACAAGTGAACGCTGGCGTGAGTACGACGATGACGGCGACGACGACAAGTGAACGCTGGATCGAATACGACGATGACGGCGACGACAAGTGAACGCTGGAGTGAGTACGACGATGACGGCGACGACGACAAGTGAACGCTGGATCGAATACGACGATGACGGCGACGACAAGTGAACGCTGGAGTGAGTACGACGATGACGGCGACAATGACGGCGACGATGACGGCAACGATGACGGCAACGATGACAAGTGCACGCTGGGGCGAATACGACGATGACGGCGACGGTGACGGCGACGATGACGGCACCGATGACAAGTGAACGCTGGAACGAATACGACGACGACGGCGACGCCGACAAGTGAACGCTGGTGCAAGTACGACGACGGCAACGACAAGTGAACGCTGGTGCAAGTACGACGACGACGACGGCAACGACAAGTGAACGCCACTTGCTGATTCCAATATGACGACAGCAAGTGGAACGACAATGACGAGTGTTTGAGCGCCATCTGCTGGCACACATGGGTGGTGGCGCCACCCATGCAACGACGACGCGCGTCTTTTACTCGATCGACTTCATTAACCGCGTGATCGACGATCGTAATTAAAGGAATTAATTTTTTATTAATGAAATAACCATCGTTTAGAGTGGAGTATAATTAGTGGTTAACGAGCGGTGTATGATGGGTGGATTGAGGATGCGTGGTGGGGAGTGAGAGGGTAGTGATTAGGTCAAAGGTTCGTGATTTACATCGTTAAGGCCGTTCATCGTTAATTTATTTAATCTTGTTAGGATCCGCTTTTTAATCGTCTGCATACGAGGGTAAAAATTAAAATATTTAATAAACCTTTTTTTTTAAATATAATTGTGCAAGTCGTCCCAAAATTCGGTTGTGAAATAAAGAACAGTTGACCTATGCGTAAAATCGCGTTTTTGTTTTGCTTTATTTTTCTTTAGACTAGTAATTGTAGACAACTGCTCGCTATAAGGTCGGCCGAAGATCTTGGCTCGCAACGGGAACCAGCGACGCGAGCGCCACATGCAAAATTAGTATGTGAGAAGTTGACGGGATGCTGCAACCAAAGTAAAGTTTTACGTCAGATGATTAAATAATTTCATCGGATCTCTTAATCTAATCGGACTTATTAGCATCAATTTAAGTCGGGTTTTATCATGATCATCTCTCGCGGCAAAGTACCCTTCCCCATTTTAAGAGTGTACTATCGTCCGAAGAAACTTATCTTGGCTAGCAGAAGCAACCAGCGACGCCCACTCTATTCCATGTACGTTTGCATAGGTGGAGAATTGTGGCGGGATGCTGCAGCGAAAGTTAATCTTTTAGATAAAATTTGATTAGGTAGATTACATGAGCACGAGCACATTATTACGTGAGCAAAATAATTGTGTGCTGTCCAGTGGCACCTGCTTTGAAAATTTTGGGGTTAGACCCGGTGTGGGTTAAAAGAGGCCTATTGCTTTATATCTTATTATGCTGTTCTTATATACTGTTGTTATTATATTATCGTTAATTAATTAATTGTGCAATTAAAAACAGTTTGGCGCCAGTACACCATACAGTACAGTACAGTACCACCAGTACAGCCTTGAGTCCAAAGAAGAAAGAACTGCTTGTGAGAAGAGAACGTCGATGATTTCTGCCAGTTAATTACCATAATATGCAATACAAATATTGTACGATTTCCGACGATAGATGGCGCTGCTTGTTGCATGGTGCATCTGTTATATAGGTATTATCGTTTCGGTTCGGTTCGTGCTGTGGTTAGCTTGAAGGCAACGTCAGACTTGTCTCTGCCTCTCGTGCGATGTAAGAAGTTGACGATGGAGATCACAGAAACGCTAACACGTATTTATGGTAACAGATGAGATGATTTTCTTCTACTCAGAGATCGACTAATGCAGACTAGTTTAGTACTGCCTGATACACTGTAAAACTTCCTAAAACTTGTAAGACTTTGAAAAACTTTGTAAGAACTTCGTAAGTACCTCATAAGAACCTCCTCTCTGACGCTCTGCATGCTATTTTATACTACCCCAAATAAATGAGTCCCTCCCCATGCCTGACCATTGGTCAGACACTTGATTTCTTCTGTTCGTTTATTTGTTAACTAAATTATTTCTACATGGTACACTATGACGTAGATTATGGTGTACTGGACTGTGCTGCCATAATGGCGACTAGTGGAATTCT